GTCAGAAGTTTACATACACTCAATTATTATTTGGTAGTATTGCCTTTAAATTGTTTAACTTGGGTCAAACGTTTCGGGTAGCTTCCCACAATAAATTTGGTGAATTTTGGCCCATTCCTCCTGACAGAGCTGGTGTAACTGAGTCAGGTTTGTAGGCCTCCTTGCTCGCACACGCTTTTTCAGTTCTGCCCACAAATGTTCTATAGGATTGAGGTCAGTGCTTTGTGATGGCCACTCCAATACCTTTACTTTGTTGTCCTTAAGCCATTTTGCCACAACTTTGGAAGTATGCTTGAGGTCATTGTCCATTTGGAAGACCCATTTGCGACCAAGCTTTAACTTCCTGACTGATGTCTTGAGATGTTGCTTCAATATATACACATCATTTTCCTTCCTCATGATGCCATCTATTTTGTGAAGTGCACCCCCACAGCATGATGCTGCCACCCCCGTGCTTCACGGTTGGGATGGTGTTCTTTGGCTTGCAAGTACCCCCTTTTTCCTCCAAACATAATGATAGTTATTATGCCCAAACAGTTCTATTTTTGTTTCATCAGACCAGAGGACATTTCTCCAAAAAGTATGATCTTTGTCCCCATGTGCAGTTGCAAACCGTAGTCTGGCTTTTTTATGGCGGTTTTGGAGCAGTGGCTTCTTCCTTGCTGAGTGCCCTTTCAGGTTATGTCGATATAGGACTCATTTTACTGTGGATATAGATCCTTTTGTACCTGTTTCCTCCAGCATCTTCACAAGGTCCTTTGCTGTTGTTCTGGGATTGATTTGCACTTTTCGCAGTACGTTAATCTCCAGGAGACAGAACGCGTCGCCTTCCTGAGCGGTATGACGGCTGTGTGGTCCCATGGTGTTTATACTTGCGTACTATTGTTTGTACAGATGAATGTGGTACCTTCAGGCGTTTGGAAATTGCTCCCAAGGATGAACCAGACTTGTGGAGGTCTACAATTTTCTTTCTGAGGTCTTGGCTGATTTTCCCATGATGTCAAGCAAAGAGACACTGAGTTTGATGGTAGGCCTTGAAGTACATCCACAGGTACACCTCCAATTGACTCAAATTATGTCAATTAGCCTATCAGAAGCTTATAAAGCCATGACATCATTTTCTGGAATTTTCCAAGCTGTTTAAAGGCACAGTCAACTTAGTGTATGTAAACTTCTGACCCACTGGAATTGTGATACAGTGAATTATAAGTGAAATAATCTGTCTGTAAACAATTGTTGGAAAAATTACTTGTGTCATGCACAAAGTAGATGTCCTAACCGACTTGCCAAAACTATAGTTTGTTAACAAGAAATGTGTGGAGTGATTGAAAAAAAAGAGTTTTAATGACTCCATCCTAAGTGTATGTAAACTTCCGACTTCAACTGTATATCTTTGTTAATTGTCATGATGCATTCTATCTTGGGTCATTGGGCTCCTAAACAAGGTGTGTAGATGTCTTAATACACTGAAAGATCTCTTACAGCTGCTAACTGGGATGGTCAGCGCGGCCTGTATGATTGCCTTCAGTGATGGGAACATATCAGGGTCTAAGAATTTATACACACAGAAGTGGCATCTTTTTTTGAGAGATAATGTTTAGCAAGGACTACTTCCTCTGGCTTGAGAGTACAGGGACACTAATTGTCTTGTGTGGGCCTCCCCTCTCTCTATGTTCTCCTGTGTTCTCGCTCTGTCCTGTCTGCTCCCCTCTCTTCCTTGCTGTCTGAAGTTCTGCTTTCCTGGATCTCCTATATTATTACAGAGAAGGCATAGTATCAGTGCCGTAACAGTATGGAGTATTCTGGACAGACAAACACACACATAAGCAATATACGCACGCACACACACAATATGAACAACAGGCAAATAATGTTTACCTGAATTGAGCTAAAGGTCAAATCTGGGATAATTTATGTTCCTTAAGATATTAGCAGTTCACTCAATCTTAAACCTGATTAACAATTGTCGTGGAAATTATACACATGGGACACTCAAAGTAAATCTTAAATTAATCATTGTTTATTAACAGTTAACTGGAGAGGTTCCAACAAACTTGATGCACCATGTCTGTCAGGAGCTCTATCAGGGCAGTCCCGTTAGATCTCTTATATACTGGTTATAGACACGTTACATAGGCATAGTAAATAGGGTTGTTTCCGACATGTGTCTGGCACCATCTCCTATCTTAATTTATAGAACATATTCTGGGCGTTCTGCCAGATGGTCCTAAGGAGGGGGTCATGTCGCCCCCCTCATATCTTTACCAAGCACAGGCAGGAACCAAGGATTATTTATAACACTAAGACAAGATGAACATTTTCAAGGCTGTCTCTTCACAAGATAAAATTCTCCATCACACATTCAACTGTTTTACCCTTCACTAACCACAATACCTGTGTTCTCTCTCTGTGGCTTTAGGAACAAAATTGAAAGGCGTGCAACCATGGGGCAAAACAGTTGAGGTTGGCTTAGATTGTTAACATGTAAGCTGTATTTCGTCTCCAATGTTTATTGAAAACAAATACATTTGCACAATGACCACTTGTTGTTTCAAATACATCGTTACTAGCTAGCTAGCGAATTTTAGCCATACTTGCATTGACATGACATCAGTCAAAACACCTCAAAACAAGACATGGTACACTCTAAATATTAGGGTTCAACAAGGGTTCTTCTAAGATCCTCAAAGTTCTTCGAAGAACCTTAAGGTTCTTGGCACTGAAAATTGCCCCCAAAAGGTTATTCCAAGAACCCCATAGGAGGTGGGGTTCATCGAGGAACCTCCTTAGATGGTTGGGGTTCTTGCAGGAACCCAACTGCCCAACTAAAATATTTGGATTTGAAAGGATGGCAGGTGCAGGCATGTAACGAAACATTTTAAGATCTCCTAACTTTAAGGTAAGGTTTGCCAAAACCTTACCTTAAATGATCTAAATTGATATTGTTTTATGATGATACCATCTATCTTTCCATATTTGTGCAAATCTTTCTAAAACAGAAAATGGATACAATTCAATGGATATCAATCAACAAAGAGGTAAGAATATGTATGCTATAAGAATATGTTGAAGGCTAGCTGTATTGGGTGCAGATGACTGAACTGCTCACTTTTGTGTCTGTGTCTGCAGGTATACAGACGAGGAGGCATACAAAGGTATGTCAATTGGTATTGGTATGTTATGCAGATCACATGTATCATCCTCCTCCCTTACCTCTTCAATGAAAATCCCACATGCATTTACATTTACATTTCCATTTACGTCATTTAGCAGACGCTCTTATCCAAAGCGACTTACAAATTGGTGCATTCACCTTAAAGCCAGTGGGATAACCACTTTACAATATGTTATTTTATTTTTTTATTTTTTATTTTATTTTGGGGGGGGGGGGGTAAGGTGGGGTAGAAGGATTACTTTATCCTATCCCAGGTATTCCTTAAAGAGGTGGGGTTTCAAGTGTCTCCGGAAGGTGGTGAGTGACTCCGCTGTCCTGGCGTCGTGAGGGAGCTTGTTCCACCATTGGGGTGCCAGAGCAGCGAACAGTTTTGACTGGGCTGAGCGGGAACTGTGCTTCCGCAGAGGTATGGGGGCCAGCAGGCCAGAGGTGGATGAACGCAATGCCCTCGTTTGGGTGTAGGGACTGATCAGAGCCTGAAGGTACGGAGGTGCCGTTCCCCTCACAGCTCCGTAGGCAAGCACCATGGTCTTGTAGCAGATGCGAGCTTCAACTGGAAGCCACTAGGCCTCTATATTATGGACAAGGTATGTGTATGAAAACCATTATCAAAACAGTTTTTTAAAATCACATTTACCACAAAAACCAAGGTATGGATACTGTTGTGTGCATGTTTTGTTAAACATCTGTATAATTACTATTTTTTGGATTCACATACTTCACCCTCCCTACACCTCTGATGAATATAACAAGAAACCTGTTCGATCACCATGCACTGCAAAATCATTATTGGCTATGGATGCGGAGAACATCAAGACATTAACATCAACACGTCAGAAGATATACCCATTGGACTTGGGGCACTGCTTGGAGTTGACCTCATATTTTTTTTATTCTGCTTTGCCACTAAAATCATAATAAACACTGACAACTAAAATATTGTGTTATTGTTATGCGTATTATTATTATTAATAATAGGGGAGGGGGGGGGGGGGGGGGGGGGGGTAGTTCAAAAATGAACCCCAAAAGGTTATTGTAAAGGTTATTTGAGGATCCATTAAAAGGGTTCTTTGAAGATTATAGGGGTTCCCCCACAGTTTCAATTTGAAGAACCCCTAAAGGATCCTCCAGGAACCTTTACTTTTTAGAGTGTATCAATAACATGATGAAACATGCTGAAATAAGCCACTTATGATTCCCACACATGGTAGTGTCATTCTTGCTAGCAATCTGGCCATCCAGAATCACAACAGCTGAAAAGAGATGGGCGCTATCAATCATTAACAAATATATATGGACAAGCTTTATGCGCTTTATTGCGTATCCAACAAAAACCGAATGGAGCTGAGGGAGTGCACAGAGTTTAGACATTCAGCTGTGCAAAATCGGCAGGATCTTGGACACTAGATGGTTGGTATCCAGTTTTAGAACTGTAGAGTCTGTGTGGAAAAATTACCCGGCTCTTCACAAGCATTTCACCACAACAGCTGAGGATGCCTCCCCCGTCAGAGCTATAGTGGCCTTGCCATGCGCATATCCTCGCATGCGTTTGTTAACAATCTAGGCCTTATGTGTGATGCACTTCAAGAACTATCTGAATTGTCACTCGAGCTCCAAAAGAGAGACTGCACAATTATTACTGCACACAGGGCAGTCACCAGGGAAGCGAGGAAGATCAGTGCAATGGCAGAGCAGCCAAGCCGACACACAACTTAGCCAGAGAGGGATTCAAGATAACTCTTTCCAAGGCGTCAAACTGAATGGTGGAAGACCCAGCGACAGAGTCCTTAATCAGAGGGAGTTTTTTGAGAGCTTGGCGAGGAACATGGAGGCTAGAATGTTCTCTCAAGGAGGACGGGCGGTGGACAATACAGGATACAGCCAGTTCATAGAGGAGCTGAAGGTGCTTTACGCGCAATACTGGCCGGAGGACGCAGGAGCACTGTAAGGAGAAACAGAGATAGAATCTCTCTGCCAGGCCGTACAGGGACACTAATGGTAATGATAAAGGAGTCATTCCAGATGGACTTAAAGAGCTGTTGATGGCGGTCAGCACCATTCCCATTTCCAGTGCAGAATGCAAGCGGCGATTTTTTCAAATGAATCTGATTTGCACCTAAACCCGCGCCTCTCTGCATACCTCCACCATATCAGGGCTACTCTTTCTGAACCTTATTGGCCCACCCCTGACCAAATTCAACCCAGTCCCCTATGTGAGGTCATGGATTGCTAAAGGACACAGCTGTGTCACAGACACCAGGAGCAAAACAAGAGATAGGGAGGAGAAGACGCACCAGGAAATGGCTGTGTTGTGGGAAGTTTTGGAAAACTAAGGTACGAACATATTTTTCCTTTACATACTTGTTCTGTACTGTGAAGTTCATCTGAATATGCACTTCATATTATCACATAGGCAGGAGGCCTATATATTATAATATGTGTTCTGCTTTAGCCTACATTGATATATTTTATTTGAAGTATATTCTGATATCAAATAAAATGATTTTGATATGTTTGTTCTACTGCTACATTGATGTCTTGAAAAGTATATGAAATTCGAGTATTATAAGCCCCACAGCTGAGTATGTGTGCATATTGCAGGTGTTCTGCAGTGACGCCTAAAAATGTTGCTGTACATTAATGTCTTGAAAATTAGGCTATAAGAAATTCCGACTTGTAAGCCCCACAGCTAAACTAGAGTACACTCTAACAAGTAAAGGTTCCTGGAGGATTCTTTAGGGGTTCTTCAAATTGAAACTGTGGGGGAACCCCTTTTAATGGATCCTCGAATAATCTTTTGAAGAACCTTTTGGGGTTCATTTTTTAACTACCCCCCCCCTATTATTATTGTTAATATGCTTAACAATAACAACAATAACACAATATCTTAATTGTCAGTGTTTATTATGATTGTAGTTGCAAAGCAGAATAAAAAAATCAGAATATGAGGAAAAACTCCCAGCAGAGCCCCAAGTCCAATGGGTATATCCTCTGGCATGTTGATGTTAATGTGTTGATGTACTCCGTATCCATAACCAGAATGATTTTGCAGTGCATGGTGATTGAACAGGTTTCCTGTTATATTCATCAGAGGTGTAGGGAGGGTGAAGTCTGTGAATCCAAAAAATAGTAGTTATACAGACGATTAATAAAACATGCACACGACAATATTCATACCTTGGTTTCTGTGGTAAATGTGAATGAAAAAAACGTTTTAATAATGGTTTTCATACACATGCCTTGTCAATAATGTAGAGGCCTATGGGATATTCATTTGAAGAGGTAAGGGAGGATCATGGTAAATCTGATCTGCATAACATACCGATACCAATTTACATACCTTTGTATGCCTCCTCGTCTGTATGCATCCTATGCCTACAGACACAAAAGTGAGCAGTTCAGTCATCTGCACCCAATACAGCTAGCCTTCAACATATTCTTATAGCCTACAGTACAGATTCTTACCTCTTTGTTGATTGATATCCATTGAATTGTGTCCATTTTCTGTTTTAGAAAGATTTGCACAAATATGAAAAGATGGATAGAGTCATCAGAAAACAATATCCATTTAAATCATACAAGGGACAAACCTTCAAATTCAAATCCAAATGTTTCAGTTGGGCAGTTAGGTTCCTGCAAGAACCCCCACCAACTAAGGAGGTTCCTCGATGAAACCCAACCTCCTATGGGGTTCTTGGAAGAACCTTTTGGGGGCAATTTTCAGTGCCAAGAACCCTAAGGTTCTTCGAAGAACTTTGAAGGTCTTAGAAGAACCCTTGTTGAACCCCTAATTTTTAGAGTGTACCTTTTGTATGCCTCCTCATCTGTAAACCTACAGACACAGACACAAAAGTGAGCAGTTCAGTCATCTGCACCCAATACAGCTAGCCTTCAACATATTCGTATAGCATACATATTCTTACCTCTTTGTTGATTGATATCCATTGAATTGTATCAATTTTCTGTTTTAGAAAGATTTGCACAAATATGAAAAGATAGATGTATCATCATAAAACAATATCAATTTAGATCATACAAGGGACAAACTTTACCTTAAATTGTGGAGATGTTTACAGTTTTCAGTTAAGTTCCTGCACCTGTTGTCATTTCAAATTCAAATTCAAATGTTTCATTTGGGCAGTTAGGTTCCTGCAAGAACCCCCTCCAACTAATGAGGTTCCTCGATTAACCCCACCTCCTATGGGGTTCTTGGAAGAACCTTTTAGGGGCAATTTTCAGTGCCAAGAACCATAAGGTTCTTCGAAGAACTTTGAGGATCTTAGAAGAACCCTTGTTGAACCCCTAATTTTTAGAGTGTATGTGGGCATAGTATATGTTTGAGACCAACGCGTGGCTGTGTGAGAAACGCGCCAGTATCTCTCACATAACTAGAATGAGATTCACTTTCTATGATCTCTCTCCCTCTCTGCTCCGATAGACATGAGCCTGAACTCTCATCTCTCAAGCGTTGCACTTAATCATTTATTTAGACTCTATGCTGTAGGCCACCAAAATATTTGATCAACTTCCAAATATTGTTTTATGAGAGAGAGAGAGAGAGAGAGAGAGAGAGAGAGAGAGAGAGAGAGAGAGAGAGAGAAAGAGAGAGAGAGGGGCTTTTGGCACAAGTGCATCGGCCATCACCAGTGAGTGAGCTGCGCATCATTGGGTGAGTCAGTGAAACTGGAAAGCATTTTTAGGACTATAATTTCTTCCTCATATTGTAGCCTACAATATGTCTCCACCAGTGGAGGCTCCTCAGAGGAGGAAGGGGAGGACCATCCTCCTCAGTGAATTTAATAAAAATGTAAATGGTAAAACATTAAAAAAGTTATCCTTTTTAGATAAAACTATACTAAATATAATCACGTCACCAAATAATTGATTAAAACACACTATTTTGCAAAGGTCTACAGTAGCCTCAAAAGCACTCTGTAGGGTAGCACCATGGTGTAGCCGGAGGATAGCTAGCTTCCGTCCTCCTCTGGGTACATGGACTTCAATTCAACACCTAGGAGGCTCATGGTTCTCACCCGCTTCCATAGATTTACGCAGTAATTATGACAAAAATAATCGTCCTCCCTCATCTTAAATGGCACTGACCGCCAATGGTCTCCACACACCTATAGGCCAAGGCTATTGATGGATTCAAGACAGTCGTTTTTATTGATCTCTGATTCTCAGTTTGTCAGTGTCAAAGTAGTAAAATGTCAAATGTAAATGTATTAACAAAGATTCTGCCGAAGTCTCCAGTCATGTAAAATGACATAGAATTGCATGAAGTGCGTTTATAAAAGGCCAACATTTTCCCGGACATTATGCCACTAAAAATGTACCCAATGTGTGCAACTTCTGTAAGTGCCTCTACTCTACTGCTCTATGCCACTAGGCAAATGCAACGATATGAATGCAATGCTTTATTATAAAGGGGGAAAAAATTATTCATGCATTCCGGTACCTCAGAACTCCCCAGGTCACCCCCTCTCGTGTTCACTGTTTGTTCCGGCACCTCCCGATTTAGAAATGAACCACTGGTTATAGTATTTCTAAGTGGCAGCCATATAATAGGCCCGGGAAACTAATTGTTCTCACTTTATGATAGAACATTCAGATTTTTCTGCCTGACTGTGGCGCTCTTTACTTGAATTGTTAGGATGTTCTGCTGATCACACTACTTATTTTTGCTCAAATAGAGATATAATTAAATGGTGTTTTCTTTGAAAAAATGGGCCTGGCTGAGAATAGAACATTCCGTTTTCTGCCTGAGTGTGGCAGTGTTTACTGCAATTTTCTGGATTATCTTCTGATCAGAACATAACAAATGATTTTACTCAACTAGAGACTTAAATAAATGGTGTTTCTTTAAAAGATGGTCCTGGTTGACTGTTTCCTCACCTTATTCTCCTTGTGGTTAACCATGGTTGTTGGTTATTTACCAGGTAACAAGAGGTGAAAACGAAACAAGGACTGAAGCAATAGACTCCTTATTTTACTGAACTAGAGATTGTTTCTTTGAAAAGATTGGCCTGGCTGACATGAAAAATACATTAAGGGGAAAGGATCCACAGACACAGAGGATGCTTATCTTTTGTTAGTCATTTAGCAGACGCTCTTATCCAGAGCGATGCACATCACTTTATTTGCAATGCTGGCTGACATGGTTTACACAAACGCAGGACATTGATTGCTACCTGAATTGACTCAGAAAAGTAACATAAGTAGGCCTACAGTATCACAGCGAGGTCAAACAGGTGTGTGTGTGTTACAAGCTAGCATCCACCGAGCCGATGGGAAAAGTGTTCTGTTGCTATGTTTCATCCTACATTTATAAGATTAAAAACTACATTTATACTCTGAATTAGCCAATAAAACATACAGATTATGAAAGCAAAGACATTGTTTTGTTAAAACCAGATGAAACCAAAAAAAACAGCGAAAAATCTCAATTTTGACAAACACCATTTATATGCAAATTAGCCATAGCGACTTCCGACTGATTATGATAGAGCGCGTCACATATGTTAATGTTCATTTGTAAAATAAATGACAAACTACACTTTGGTGTTATAACTAAATTCATCACTGAAATGATGATATTCCCATAATATAAATGTATACAGTACAGTAGCTAGACAAACGATAGCCAGTTTGCTGTGCGTCACATCCGGTGGAATATTCTAGTGGATTCTTCGTGGGACTTTAAAAGCAGGCGCGCTGAGACGCAGACTGAGATGCTTTTAACAGGTGAATCACTGAAACGTTATTGGGATGCAATAAACAACCACTTTGTACACATGAAGAAGTAACTATTACAGAAGAGAGATTCATTTAATACGATTGCTTAGTTCCATTGAAGCCGTGTCAATCATTTGCACTATTTCAGCATCATCTTTAGGTCCTTCCAGGTAAGTCAGACTGTTTAAATTATCCTCATATCAGTTTACATAGTGCGCAGAAAACCGATTGTTGACATCCATATGGAATTATTATAAGCATTTCAGTAAATTATATTTAGAAAGGCTATGGGTTGTGGATTTTGTCCCCTAAATGTGTGACGCACTTTGTATAAAATAAATTGCAGCAACCATTTTGTTTTTGTATTTTTTTAAATAATTGTATTTTTTTTAAAGACATCTACTGTGAGAATGATGCGTTTAACGCACGAGTTTACACATTTCATAGGCTACACTTACAAAAAAGATTGCAGTTTTGAAACTAGTAAAAGTGCAGTAACTGCAGTCGACGGTGGTATTTTGGACGCAGTAATTGCAGAAAACTGCAGTTCTAGTGCAAAATTACTGCAGTAAAAAAAACGTATTTTGGACGCAGTATTTGTAACATACTGCAGTTATACGGCACTCTTTTTTTTGTAAGGGGTAGTAAGGAATTTGGGTAGTTGCGCGTGGCTATGGTACTGAAGAAACTGCGTAGTGTGCGCACACCATAGAGATAGGTAGAGGACTCAACTTGAAAATAAGACGTTTTAAGCCATTGAGGGCTTCCACAATTTTATAGACAACTGGGTGGGGATTCCTATGGGTTGGGAGCTATCAGCCAGTAGGCAGGTTTCCATCGACTCAAGCTTATTCGACAAAATCAATGTTGCAACAAAGTAATTGCAAAGTGTAATGATAGAGGATACATTTTTATCCATTTGACAAGGGTGGATTTCGTTTTGTGAAGCTTTTTTTTATTGCGACAAATTATGATGGAAACTGTTTTTCTAATAAATGATGATTGCCGAATAATTTTGAAGGTACCCGAGGCACGTGATGTCACTATAAAGCTCCACTCTACATTTAATTCTAAATGTCTTCTGCTTGCAAAATCTATTTTTCAATCTATTTTTTTCTCGGTGTGAAGTCGTTACGTCTAGCTGTTTTTATCAACACACGATAGTTAAATGGAAACGCACCCAAGCAGGCAATTGTCGCATCTATTTTCTATGCAAACGTTCAAAATATTAACAACTGAAATCACTGGACAAGTTCATGGAAACATAGCTACTGATCAGAGCATTGTCTTCTTCTTTAAATTGGGTGCTATGGTTTGTAAATGGCTTTCAGCTATACCACAGCAATCTAGTGGCCATAATAAATGAATGACACAATATTTGGTTCAGGACTCCAGCACTACAGGTGGTGGTAAATCACCAATATTAGCTTGACACTTTTTTTATAAACACAAAAAAACTAGAAACGGTTATACTTTTAAAGGCTGTGTCTGCGGATCCGACTTTTTCAGTGTCTTTAGTCCGCCAGACTTAAGATCACAAAGCTTCTGCGCATGTGTGGATAACATTCTGTGTGTATTCTCTACTTTACGCATAGAGAACAGGCTACTCAGGCGAATGGTGCTCGTTTAATAAAGTTAGATCAAAGCTGAATCAATGTCTGCAAGATCACATAATGATTAATGAGTATTCTACATAACAGAAAAGAATAGCATAGTATAAGGTTTGGCTACTGTAAGACAAAAACACCACCACGTTTTTCTCTCATGGCCAAAACTAAAATTTAAAGATTCTGAAAAAGTTGGATCCACAGCCACTCCGTACTTTAAAATGGAGAGAGCCTCAATGTCAGACACCATAATCGCATTGATACAAAAATGAGGCCTCTTTCCAACTCTATGGGGCACACCCGCTGGCTCAACCAATAGGATCAACCAATAGCATAGGTGAGCGCACTGACTGCCTTGTGATCCATGGCGTTGTAGCTAAATAATCTAGTACTTTAAGTGTGTAGGATCTTGTACTACAGTTATGTAGTTAATTAACTAGAATTATTGCTTTTGAAATAGATTTTCCTTTGAAAATGACAATCTTATTTATGAGTGTATTTGACTAGACTAGATAACGCTGTTATAGCTTTGTATATGACTAGGCTACTGTGAGCCTAGTCATTTTTGTGAATGTATGAGCTTCAGACATGCATTTTAATTTCCAAGATATTGGTGGGTGATTGAGGTATTGCAGGCATACAGTGTTAATTTATGCCTATCAGAGTCCATTCCGATAATGATTAGAAGATCGCTCTGTCAATTATCAACTGCAGAGGATTAAACCAGTAGCGCTAATTGTTTTGTAGCATACCATAATTGCCAAATATAGACATGGCTTAAAACCCTCAAGCTCTAAATAAGACATGATTTATTGCCATTAGCTATTATAGCAGTCATTTTTGTTACTTGTTATGAAGTTGATAATGACATTAAGACTGACGGATGGCCTAATGAAAATAAAGTTCAATCAAAATGCAGCAAATTGTTTGCATGTCATTGATGTTCAATCAGTCAGGCATTCCTAGACAGATGTGACCTGCCCAGTGGGGCAACTTCAAAACAGTCTCAACTTTCCCAATTGCTCTTCACCTGGCCCTGGCAATAGAGCAACTTTTAATGTCAATCCAACTCATGCATAAGGCAAGTGGATGGGCCAGTTACCTGGACACATTTTAAGTCTAGTTGTGGACTGAAAATGCTATTTTAAGCTCTTAAGTATGCTTTTCAGTCCAGAACTAGGTTTAATCTGTTTCTGGGAAACAGTCTCTAAATGTTGACTGTTTTCCAGCTGCTGTGCTGTGGGCAGACTGACGCAGAGAGTACCATGATTCTGCTGACTCCATCCTCTGGTAAGTGCTTATTGCTGGATGCCCCTGGACAAATGTGCATGACATGGTTGTGAATATCTGTGTCAACACTAGAGCCAAGGCCTGGTAAGAATCATGTAAAACTGGGTGTGAGTGTAGTTTTTTCACAACTGATATCAGTTTTTTTTCTTGTACTTATACTAGCTTAGAGTTATATAGCAAGTTGTCAACTATGAAATTATAGTGGATAATAGATAGTTACTCATCAACATTTAAATCTATAACTAAATGTTAATGCAGGTTGTATGTGATTAGGTTCACTACCCGTCAAAAGTTTTAGAACGCCTACTCATTCAAGGGTTTTTCTTAATTTTTAAAATGTTCTACATTGTAGAATAATAGTGAAGACATAAACTATGAAATAACACCTATGGAATCATGTAGTAACCAAAAAAGTGTTAAAACAATCAAAATATATTTTATATTTGAGATTCTTCAAATAGCCACCATTTGCCTTGATGACAGCTTTGCACACTCTTGGCATTCTCTCAACCAGCTTCAGCTGGAATGCTTTTTGAAGGAGTTCCCACATGCTGAGCACTTGTTGGCTGCTTTTCCTTCACTCTGCGATCTGACTCCTCCCAAACCATCTCAATTGGGTTGAGGTCGGGGGATTGTGGAGGCCAGGTCATCTGATGCAGCACTCATTACTCTCCTTCTTGGTCAAATAGCCCTTACACAGCCTGGAGGTGTGTTGGGTCATTGTCCTGCTGAAAAACAAATGATAGTCCCACTAAGCCCAAACCAGATGGGATTTTGCGTATTGCTGCAGAATGCTGAGATGGTTTGGGGGGAGTCGGACCGCAGAGTTTATTTTATTTTATTTCACCTTTATTTAACCAGGTAAGCCAGTTGAGAACAAGTTCTCATTTACAACTGCGACCTGGCCAAGATGAAGCAAAGCAGTGCGATTAAAAACAACACAGAGTTACATATGGGGTAAAAAAACATAAAGTCAAAAAAATACTACAGAAAATATATATACAGTGTGTGCAAATGTAGCAAGTTATGGAGGTAAGGCAATAAATAGGCTATAGTGCAAAATAATTACAATTAGTATTAACACTGGAATGCTAGATGTGCAAATAGAGATACTGGGGTGCAAAAGAGCAAAATAAATAACAATATAGGGATGAAGTAGTTGGGTGGGCTAATTTCAGATGGGCTGTGTACAGGTGCAGTGATCGGTAAGGTGCTCTGACAACTGATGCTTAAAGTTAATGAGGGAGATAAGTCTCCAGCTTCAGAGATTTTTGCAATTGTTCCAGTCATTGGCAGCAGAGAACTGGAAGGAATGGCGGCCAAAGAAGGTGTTGGCTTTGGGGATGACCAGTGAAATATACCTGCTGGAGCGCAGACTATGGGTTGGTGCTGCTATGGTGAGAGTGAAGGAAAAGCAGCCAACAAGTGCTCAGCATATGTGGGAACTCCTTCAAGACTGTTGGAAAAGCATTCCAGGTGAAGCTGGATGAGAGAATGCCAAGAGTGTGCAAAGCTGTCATCAAGGCAAAGGGTGGCTACTTTGAACAATCTGAAATATAAAATATATTTTATTTAACACTTTTTGGTTACTACATGATTCCATATGTGTTATTTCATAGTTTTGATGTCTTCACATTTATTCTACAATGTAGAAAATAGTAAAAATGAAGAAAAACCCTTGAATGATTAGGTGTTTAAAACTTTTGACCGGTAGTGTGGATTGTAATGTAATGCTACTATAATATCCTGTTTTAGTTTTTGGATGTATTTGTTGTTAGTTTTCATCATTTTTGTAATATTAAATTAATAGTTAATTATTTCTCAGTTAAAGTGGGAGCATGATGTTTTTTTAAGTGTACATATTCCATAATTTCCCAGTTGTGAAATTTGCTCCCATGCTCATCTTAATAGGCAGATATCCTGGGCCTGTATTCTCAGAGCGTCTCAGTAGGTCCCCCCTCTCTTATTCCTTATGATTTAAAAGGCAAAACTGATCCTAGATCAGGACTTCTACTCTGAGACACTGTGAAAATGGGCCCAGAAATACGAACTTAAAAGTGTGAATGTATCTGGCTCTGGCTTGATACTTAGCTGGTATTTATCAGTGGTGAGACAGTATTGACTGGCCGGATTAGGGATCAGACCTGGTGTATCCTTTCCACTGAGTTGTGAAACACAAGCTGGCTGTTTTTTCTTTTTCCGGAAGAGCAACAAGTGTGTTTCTCTCCTAACTGGGTCAATATTTCAATATTTTTAGAAAATATTTGTTGACATTCTAGGCAAACAGACAAAGATTAGTGGCAGATACTGTAAATGTATCTGCTTATTGATTCGCCATAGTTTACCATTTGGGGTTTTCTGGTTAGGTTGTCGAAAGCCAAGTAATGTAAAATGCAAATCAGAAATGAGAAGCATGCTTGTCAAGTGAACTTCTTAAAAGTTGTTGTTGGCTTGTGCTATGTCTCATACACTGTTTTCTTTCAGATGAAGAGTCTCTTGAACTCGACTGGCTTTGGAATCACACGAAGTTCTGTGTGCAAAACAGAATAGTAGGAACATGACTTTAACCCTTTTTCACCTACAGACGTTAGTTTGTTAGACTATTTTAGTTTTAAAAAGGGTTGCTATGGTAATCTTTATGTTTATTTTATTTAGAGGTATGTGGGTCTTTGTCGGCAGAGAACACTCTGTTGGCTACTTTTATCACCTCAGCTTATTAACTTCTGTGTGAAATCTAAACTCACTAGCGAAGCCACAGACACTCAAGAACAAAGATCCCTTTGTTTGCCTTCATTGAAAACCCTCAGCATTGCAAGGATGAAGAACAGCCCTGGCCATAGTGAAGTAGCTAGCGTCACTAGACCTTCCAGCTTTTGAAGTAAGATGACCTATCCATGATGCCTTTTAATGTTTCAAGATTCTGGCATCCATTCATTCAATGAAAGTCAAATTAAATTGCCCTTACACTCTTCGATTACTTTAATAACCGTAATGGTGGAACACAGTATTATACAGTTACTTCTGATATGAACTTTGATAAAACAATACTTGGCTTTCAAATAACAAATGTATAAAGAAATTATGTAATTAGTATGACATTTCCACAAAATACAAACAATGACAAAGACCGAACAGGCAAACTGTTATTGACGCTTTTTAAAAGCTACCCATCCATGTGAAAGTTGCTTTCATGTTCTTTGTCATTGTTCCAGGTCACTGTTTTGCCAGTCAACTAGCCTAATGAATCAACAGCCCAGTAGAGTCAATATCTCAGGGTTGCACTATAGTACTATGTATGGACAGTCCATTACTATAGTATAGTACCATGTGTGGACAGTCACTTACTCTCTCCCCACCAGCCTGTCTCAGCTATACATGCACTATATATTTGCTAAATATGTATTCCGTGTGGCAATGACTATGACAATATTAACACTACCAAATGGTGGTTACTGTACATACTGTGCCAGCCCCTTCATATGAATGTTTTATTCTGAAAAGTGGATTAGTCTATCGAATGGTGGGTCGCCAATAAACTTACATACTTCTTGGTAAGTGCTACTACTTTTTATTAGCTACATGAATCAATCTTGCATAGGTTTGTAAATAATGTACAATTTGTATATAAAAAATGAAGTTTCTTTGCAAATGTTCATTCTTTGATAACAAATACATTATTTAATACTGTGTAACATTTATTTATTTATATATTTTTAAGCACAACCTAAACCACTTGTGAATTTTATTTAGGTTCTCCTCTATACTTGAAATCTGCTGGTTACTAGTACTACTGTAGGTTGAACGCTGTACAGTAGGTTGGGTGCATGAGGTTTGACTTTTTCCCTTTAATTTTCATTCATCTTTTTTCATATCTTGGTACAGCTGCTGATTCTGTCCTGGTCTTGAGGAGGGGCCACATAAGTAGCAAGCCAAACGAGCCAAACAAGTTAAAGCTGATAATTTGCAAAGAAAATATTGGTTATAGCAATGATTTATCTTTCGCGTGTTTGGTTTGTTTGACATATCTGTTTAAACAGGATTTACATACTGTACAGCAGTTTAAGTATGGCCATCAGATATGATATGGTCCTATCATATCTGTAGTGTTTTAGCTACAATCCTCTTAAGAGCAGCTAAGTGACTCTAACATAGACCACCAGCTAATAGCAATCACTGTCTTCACTGCTCTCAGGTTTCTTCCAGCGCACCAATAAGCTTTTTCTAAGCGAGCAGGCCACTGGTGTCCAGCTCAAGGAGTTTGTACGCAAAAATGCAGCCAACGCTCTGTCTATGGCAAACATGCTCATGGGCATGGCCTCTATCCTCTGCAGCCTGAATGGGTGAGTAAACACAGCATACAGTATCTGATTTTCTTTCTACAAAACCATAGTATAGCTAACATAGACAGTGGCAGTGTTTTATGTTATTATAGCATACATCTTTGTTATATCTGTGAGGCTTCTATTTTTTGAATGTTGTATTGACGGTTGACACAAGCGCATGTCCTGCCAAAAAAAGGCTGCGCTGTTGAGGGAAGACTGAGATGAATACAAGCAGCTTACTAAGGTCAGGTCGTCAGACCTTCGGCTCTAAAACATACAGCACACATCAAACACCACCCTTAAAGCATTGTTAGTGTTAAATAATATACTGTATCTGAAGTGTATATGGCACGAAAAGCCGTAAGTAGAAGATACAGTTTATGATATCTTCTGTCAACAAAGCAGCCCTAAATGCAATTTAAGATCCTACATCGCCTCATGTCACTCCTGTGTCTAGGGATAGAATTAACCCTAATTTGGCTAGTCTTTGTAATAGTTTCAGGGTACGGAAGGTTAATTAATTGTTTCTGGAATTGGCCGTAAAAAAAAAATTTTAGGTCCGAGGTTCTACAGGCGATGGATAACGTGTTTTGAATGCTCTCTCCAGCTGGGTGCAAAGGCTTGTACACTGGGAACTAGAGATGAGCATTTACAGTGGGGGAAAAAAGTATTTAGTCAGCCACCAATTGTGCAAGTTCTCCCACTTAAAATGATGAGAGAGGCCTGTAATTTTCATCATAGGTACATGTCAACTATGACAGACAAAATGAGATTTTTTTTTCTCCAGAAAATCACATTGTAGGATTTTAAATGAATTTATATGCAAATTATGGTGGAAAATAAGTATTTGGTCAATAACAAAAGTTTCTCAATACTTTGTTATATACCCTTTGTTGGCAATGACACAGGTCAAACGTTTTCTGTAAGTCTTCACAAGGTTTTCACACACTGTTGCTGGTATTTTGGCCCATTCCTCCATGCAGATCTCCTCTAGAGCAGTGATGTTTTAGGGCTGTCGCTGGGCAACACGGACTTTCAACTCCCTCCAAAGATTTTCTTTGGGGTTGAGATCTGGAGACTGGCTAGGCCACTCCAGGACCTTGAAATGCTTCTTACGAAGCCACTCCTTCGTTGCCCGGGAGGTGTGTTTGGGATCATTGTCATGCTAAAAGACCCAGCCACGTTTCATCTTCAATGCCCTTGCTGATGGAAGGAGGTTTTCACTCAAAATCTCACGATACATGGCCCCATTCATTCTTTCCTTTACACGGATCAGTCGTCCTGGTCCCTTTGCAGAAAAACAGCCCCAAAGCATGAAGTTTCCACCCCCATGCTTCACAGTAGGTATGGTGTTCTTTGGATGCAACTCAGCATTCTTTGTCCTCCAAACACGACGAGTTGAGTTTTTACCAAAAAGTTCTATTTTGGTTTCATCTGACCATATGACATTCTCCCAAACTTCAGACGGGCCTGGACATGTACTGGCTTAAGCAGGGGGACACGTCTGGCAATGCAGGATTTGAGTCCCTGGCGGAGTAGTGTGTTACTGATGGTAGGCTTTGTTACTTTGGTCCCAGCTCTCTGCAGGTCATTCACTAGGTCCCCCCGTGTGGTTCTGGGATTTTTGCTCACTGTTCTTGTGATCATTTTGACCCCACGGGGTGAGATCTAGGGAGATTATCAGTGGTCTTGTATGTCTTCCATTTCCTAATAATTGCTCCCACAGTTGATTTCTTCAAACCAAGCTGCTTACCTATTGCAGATTCAGTCTTCCCAGCCTGGTGCAGGTCTACAATTTTGTTTCTGGTGTCCTTTGACAGCTCTTTGGTCTTGACCATAGTGGAGTTTGGAGTGTGACTGTTTGAGGTTGTGGACAGGTGTCTTTTATACTGATAACAAGTTCAAACAGGTGCCATTAATACAGGTAACGAGTGGAGGACAGAGGAGCCTCTTAAAGAAGAAGTTACAGGTCTGTGAGAGCCAGAAATCTTGCTTGTTTGTAGGTGACCAAATACTTATTTTCCACCATAATTTGCAAATAAATTCATTAAAAATCCTACAATGTGATTTTCTGGATTTTATTTTCTCAATTTGTCTGTCATAGTTGACGTGTACCTATGATGAAAATGACAGGCCTCATCTTTTTAAGTGGGAGGACCTGCACAATTGGTGGCTGACTAAATACTTTTTTTCCCCACTGTAACTACAAATATATTCTGCTGTGGCAATCTTATAAGGCTCCCTCAAGAAGTCAATGGGAACAAAGGATCATTGATTTAATTCCCAATGAGGCTTTCTCTACAGCATTGAAAAATAAGCCTTAACAATTATTTAAGATGTGGGACCCCTTTCTGAACTACCTTGGCTAAAACAAAGCCCACATTTAATTTCAGGACTGCCTGGCCTGGTGTGACTCTGTTACTTGAAAGTTATCCTACTCTACAGTACATTCGGAAAGTATTCAGACCCCTTGACTTTTTCCACGTTACCTTACAGCCTTATTCTAAAATGGATTAAATCCCCCCCCCCCCCAAATAAATTCATAAAAAATCCTACAATGTGATTTTCTGGAATTTTAAATACTTTTTTCCCCCACTGTAGCTAAGGATCTGAGTACTTACATAAGGTATCTGTTTTTTTATTTTTAATAAATTTGCAAAATCATCTAAACCTGTTTTCGCTTCGTCATTATGGGGTATTGTGTGTAGATTGAGAGAGAGATGATTTAATCAGTTTTAGAATAAGGATGTAATGTGGAAAAAGTCAAGGGGTCTGAATACTGAATGCACTGTATGTAGTACTCTTTTCACATACTTGACCTCTGTGATTGTGTAGTCTGGTGCTTGTGTGGCTATTATCTGCATAAATCCATTTGAATTCAATCACTTTTTGACAGCACCCCATTTGACTTGAACAAAACCTTCCATACATATTTGCCTGTTGTAGAAGGAAATGGAAAATAAACACTTGAGATTTAATAGCTTACAAACAGAGTTGTCAAAGCATTTTATAATTTGTGGGGATTTTAAATAAATAAGAATTGACTTTTTTTTTAAATATATATATTTTTTAAACATAAATTAGCAATCTATGTGGGAAATAAAATAGCTTCACAACACTGTTTGTAAGCTTTGAAATTATATAAAACTCAACCATTTATCTTGTCCAGTGATGAAGACATGGATGTCTCATGGTATTGGGGGGGTATGCAAAATGGGTGAACTTTGAGCACCTTTTATCTCCTGAATGTTTTGGTATTCAGGGCCAAAAAGTCACTTTCTGACCACTTGTTCCATGGGCAAACGTGTAAGGAAAGTTTTGTATAAATAAAAAGGGATGCTGTCAAATGACTTCAGATGGATTTATTGATTTTTAATGGTCGTTTAAAAAAATAATTGTTTTGTCTGTTTATTTTTGTATCTGTAAGTTGTCTCCCGAGTGGCGCAGTGGTCTAAGGCACTGCATCGCAGTGCTAGCTGTGCCACTAGAGATCCTGGTTCGAATCCAGGCTCTGTCGTAGCCGGCCGCGACCGGGAGACCCATGGGGCGGCGCACAATTGGCCCAGCGTCGTCCAGGGTAGGGGAGGGAATGGCCGGCAGGGGATGTAGCTCAGTTGGTAGAGCATGGCGTTTGCAACGCCAGGGTTGTGGGTTCGATAAAATAATGTATGTGCTAACTGTAAGTCGCTCTGGATAAGAGCGTCTGCTAAATGACTAAAATGTAAATGTAAAATGTTATGCTCTTTATTCCCCTGTTAGTTTTTTAGCCATGTTTTCTTGTATGATATTTGTGTGGTTTTCTTACTCTGTAAAAGCCACAAGTTAATACAAAAAGCAGCTCTTGGTGGGACATTGCTGTAAGTGCAGTGGTAATAAACAAGTAATCCATAGGTTACTGTGTAAATACGGTTGTATCATGTAATGTCTTAGTATTGTCATTTTCTGTTTTGTAAAACTGCAACCCAACATTTTACCCTCCTATTGCAGCCACCAACATGCTGCCTGCTGGCTGGTCCTGATTGGCTACCTGCTGGATTTGGCAGACGGGGCAGTTGCCAGGCAACTGGATGCATGCTCTGCACTAGGTGAGTGGATTGGTGTCCATTACCTCTGGCAAGGGCTAAACTTCAACTGACACTGATGATTCACTAGCCTGAAACATGTTAGTTATGACGAGGACTATGAGAGGGCAAGACAGCACAAACAGGTCTGGGATCAGGAGAGTGATGCACACAACCCAGCCCTCTACTACTGGCACTGGTCATTATAGCTGATGGCTCAAATGGCCTAATGGGCAATGGTTATTCCTTAAAAGACACAAAAGGAGCCATGTATAATTCAGGGAAGATAATTTACAGACCTACAGTGCATTCGGAAAGTATTCAGACCCCTTTACTTTTTCCACATTTTGTTATGTTACAGCCTTATTCTAAAATCAATTAAATACATTTTCCCCTCATCAATCTACATGCAATACCCTATAATGACAAAGCGAAAACAGGTTTGTAGACATTTTTGGAAATGTATTACAAATAAATAAAAAACAGAAACCTTATTTATGTAAGTATTCAGATCCTTAACTATAAGACTCGAAATTGAGCTCAGGTACATCCTGTTTCCATTGATCATCCTTGATGTTTCTACAACTTGATTTGGAGTCCACCTGTGATAAATTCAATTGATTGGACATGATTTGGAAAGGCACACACCTGTCTCTACAAGGTCCCTCAGTTGACAGTCATGTCAGCAAAAACCAAGCCATGATGTCGAAGGAATTGTCCGTAGAGCGCCGATACAGGATTGTTGAGGCACAGATCTGTGTAAGGGTACCAAAACATTTCTGCAGCATTGAAGGTCCCCAAGAACACAGTGGCCTTTATCATTCTTAAATGGAAGAAGTTTGGAAACACCAAGACTCTTCCTAGAGCTGGCCGCCCGGCCAAACTGAGCAATCAGGGTAGAAGGGCCTTTGTCAGGGAGGTGACCAAGAACCCGATGGTCACTCTGACAGAGCTCCAGAGTTCCTCTGTGGAGATGGTTGTCCTTCTGGAAGGTTCTCCCATCTCTGCATTACTCCACCAATCAGGCCTTTATGGAAGTGGCCAGACGGAAGCCACTCCTCAGTAAAAGGCACATGACAGCCCACTTGGAGTTTTCCAAAAGGAACCTCAAGGACTCTCAGACCATGAGAAACTAGATTCTCTGGTCTGATAATCAAAATTGAACTCTTAGGCCTGAATGCCAAGTGTCACATCTGGAGGAAACCTGGTACCATCCCTACGGTGAAGCATGGTGGTGGCAGCATTATGCTGTGGTGACGTTTTTCAGCGGCAGGGACTGGGAAGACTAGTCAGGATCGAGGGAAGATTAACAGAGCAAAGTACAGAGATCCTTGATGAAAACCTGCTCCAGAGACCTCAGGACCTCAGACTGGGGCGAAGGTTCACCTTCCAACAGGACAACAACCCTAAGCGTACAGCCGATACAATGCAGGAGTGGCTTCAGGACAAGTCTCTGAATGTCATTGAGTAGCCCAGCCAGAGCCCGGACTTGAACCCGATCAAACATCTCTGGAGAGACCTGAAAATAGCTGCGCAGCGACGCTCCCAATCCAACCTGACAGAGCTTGAGAGGATCTGCAGAGAAGAATCGGAGAAACTCCCCACATACAGGTGTGCCAAGCTTGTAGTGTCATACCCAAGAAGACTCGAGGCTGTAATCGCTGCCAAAGGTGCTTCAACAAAGTACTGAGTAAAGGGTCTGAATACTTATGTAAATGTAATATCGCTTTTCTGTGTGTAGATTGAGGAAGGACAAACAATTTTAATTAATTTTAGAAAAGGCTGTAATGTAACAAAAAGTGGGAAAAGTTAAGGGGTCTGAATACTTTCCGAATGCACTGTACATGCATATTTTACAGAGGTAGAAGACGATCAGCATAAACAAATGGTTATTCCGCTGTCCCAATGGGAGAACCCTTTTGGTTCCAGGTAGAACCATGTTGGGTTCCATGTAGAACCCTTTCCACAGAGGGTTCTACATGGAACCCAAAACAGTTTATATTTTTTACCTGGAACCAAAAAGGGTTCTCCTGTGGGGATAGCCATATAGCTAAGTGACAGCAGGTTGCATACTGCAATAAGTTTGGACCAAACTGGTTTTCCTTACAAAGACCCCATTTTAAAAACATTCTTGAATGAAAGGGAGAATCCAAAGGGCACTTAAGTGACAGCAAACCAAACAAAATCGAATCTCGTTGCAGTAAGTGTACTTGCTGTCAATTTGCTGTGCTGAGCTGCTTCTGTCTCTGTATGTAGTTCAGTAAATTATCTTCTCTGCATTGCACTGGTTCCATGTCTTTGTTGAATTCTCTCTGCCGTAGACTGTTGTGTATTATTAGGAAATGGCCTAGCTAACGATTCAATATAAAAAAAAATAAAGCTGTTGATTTTTAAGCAAACTCCTATTGTACCCGACACAGCACATTCTCAAATGATGATATGATGTATTAAAAAGGCACATACAGGTGGCTTTGTACATAACGACCTCCTGTGTGCAGATAGTCACGTCTACACTACCATGCATCCCACGGCTGCCTGAAATAGCTCCCAGCAGGTGCACCACAATGCATCGTCACCCGGATATTTCAGGGGCTTTGTGTCCCAACAGTGTTTTTCTGCATGACTTTGCAGGTGGGTGTTGTTGTGCCCCCGTTTTTTGTGTCAATTGAACTTTCACTTTCCGAATAAGCAGTCTGAATCGGGGGATCATGCTCCAATTGTCTGTTTTATCCCAATGCTTTGGGACCTCAGCATATCTGAAATTGCTAAAATTGTTGACCCCTGTGCTGTGGAATTCCATCCCGTTCTTTGGAGCTGGGGTCAGAATCACCTCCTGCTCGTCGCTCGGTGACAACATGCTCCCTGCTCTGGGGGGACAAATAGACTGTGAATTTTGGGAATGTTGTTTACAGAGGAAAGTGGCAGGCCTGTTAGGCTGACACTGACATTTCCACTACAGATAGACCCTTTCTACAAACAATAACACGCACACAGGAAAGGGAGAAGTAGGCCATTGGCATAAACAAGATTAGATCAACTTGTTTTGTCTTATGTTAGCAGTGAACTAGCCTCACAGCAGTAGCATGTTGACATTAATCTGATCTGTGTGACAAGTCATGAGACAAATGTATAACTAGTCACTTCCTGTCTTTCCTCTCTGGTTCAGGTGCTAAACTGGATGATTTTGCAGATTTCACAACCTTTGGGATTGCAACTTCATTGCTCCTGAGGACACATGCCTTAATGGACAACATCCTGTGCATGTGCTATGTCCTGTCTGTGTTTGTCCGCCTCTGCTTCTTCTCCAGCGGTAAGGGGCGCAGAAAGAAAACGTGAAATGCTAGGATGATGGCATGATCAATTTCAGTCTAGGGAAAACATCTTTTCATGTATTGTCATTCAAAGTGCAGTCTAGGCAAAAGAAGTCTTTGGCCATTTCAGATTCAAAGTCTTTATTTAGGTCCTGTCTTTCTGTGGTTATTCTTCTCCAGGCATCCCCTTCATGTACCGTGGCCTGCCGTGCATCTACTCTTCCGCCATCCTGGCCTGTCTCTCCCTGCTGACCGGAGGTAACATGGTGATCCTGCGGGTCACTGCTGTGGCCATGATCCTCTTCATGGTCAACCAGGGCTTCTACCCTCATGACAGGGTCCTGGAGTCACAGGCCTGGAAGAAGGTGGTCTACGCTGGAGGTAATACACCAGATACAGTGTTTCTTAATCTTGGTCCAGGGGACCCAAAGGAGTGCACAATTTAGTTTTTGCCCTAGCACTACATATCTGATTTAATCAAAGGGTTGATGGTGAGTTGATTAGTGGAATCAGGTGTGTAGTGCTAGCCTCGTACAACCAGCCTGATCTCGCAAGCATACATAAATAATTGACTACACAGATCATTTATGTAAGCTCGCAAGATCAGGCAGGTTGTACGAGGCTAGTGTAGTGCTACGGCAAAAACAGAAAGGTTCATCCCTTTGGGCCCCCAGACAAGGGTTAAGAAACTGCACAAGTAGAATAGGTAGTAGAGGTGCTGAATTAGCTCTTGAAAATTAGAATTCAAATTTGTAAAAAAGGACTGAGGCTGCACAACCAAATTAACGGCCTGTTCCGCCCCTGTCCTGCCTTGTCCCGCCCCCCTGGAATCCTCTCCCCCAGAGTTTAACAACTGTATCACGTTCTGCACATGTGTTACTTTACCTTTTAGTTTACGCATATATATTTTTTTACGTAGCTGCTGCTCACCCTTCCCCTTCACGCTTCTCACTACACAATCGTGAATGAGAATTCTTCACGTTTTAATACTGAAACATCCATGCAGCATCTGCATGCCAACCATTTTCATGGGAATAGGCATTTAGATATTCTTGAATTATGTACAGTGTTTCGTGAGCGACTTTTTAAAGCAGATGGTGTTAAACTATCTTATCAGTGTTTTGTTTCAATCAAAGCACATATTTTGCTAAAATCTTATAAATTAGGTGGATGTTTTTGTCTTACAGTAACGTTATACTGTTATAGTTGGTTCTTTATGTAGAATACTAATTAATCGTAATCTTGCAGACATTGATTCAGCTTTGATCTAACTTTATTAAACAAGCACCATTCTCCATTCCAAGGTTATTATAGTTTTGTGTTTTAATATTAGATTTGATGGAAACATCCTGTTTTTTTTTATTTATTTAGGTAATTTTCAGTTAATTTTCTATTCAGTTTTAGTTTGATAAACATTCCTATTTCATTTTTATGTAATTCAGTTTTGGTGTTTGGGACAGAAAGTAGCCTGCATGTAGGTTCTAGTTCTTTCCTGTTAGCTAGTGATAGCTAGTAGTCTAGGAAATCCTAGAGCAACAACACTAGGTCTGAGGAGGATGTTGGATTCTCTTGGATATTTCAACAACAACAAATTCCGGGGAGGTTCTTCTTCAGACCGACAACTCTCCCAACAAATCACGAGTTTGGGTAGGCGGGCCAAGCCTGAAAAATCTAACACTTTCCGTAGCCTGTAGACAGACATCTCATAATGTTGAGATTTGAAACCAAAGTTTTCAGGCAAAACCTTTGCAGTGGTTTTAGTGGCGGTAGATGATGCAAACTAGCCACTTGCGAAATGCGCTCATTAAAAATAACCTCTGCATTCTCCATCTCGCTAGCTAGCCAGCTACTACGTTGTGTCCGGCGAGGATGTTGACGCTAGGCCGTGACATCACCGGATAAGGCAGTGACGCTCTTCCCTGTTCCATAGAGATGTGTATATAGAGCTCATTCCATGGAAATAACCCATTTTTGCATGGACATTGCCATTTGAGGACTTTCACCATTTAAGTAGTCAACTGAGTGGGACTTCCTATGGCTTAAGGAAGTATCACATAATTCCATCCAGGTCATCAGGAGGGATCAGCCAATGAATTATACTTGTGCGCAAACATTCTGTAACTGGAGGTGGCGGTCCATCACCATCTAGCGCAACCCTTAGAACCTCCCCTAAGTGTGCTGCATCCAGGGGCCGGTATTGTCTTTGTGTGCAACAAAGACAATTCGGTTAGCTTGTGCAAAATGGATATTCTCTTTCTCGAAATAAACTGCCTATTCTTGCCAATTCACAGATGCTTTTGTAGTATCTTCTAAGAAGAGTTCAACACTTTTCGCAAACTGCCAGTGGCAAGCCAGCTCCCAGAGATTGGTCCAACAATCTCCTCCAGTGCTTTACAGTAGTCGTAGCGTTCTACATCATTGCCATTTGTACGAAAAATATTGTGTTTGTACTTTTTACTGGGATCGTGTTCTGCACAACCACAACATACATAATTCTGCCTTTGATGGCATCTTTACTTTTTCTATTTGAAGACAGTGTACATCACTTAACAGGTTGGCTAGCAGAGTTACACTGGCTAGCTATTAGCATGAACATGTTCCTACTACCTCGGGTTCCATGGAATTATTTCAGCATAATTCATTTTACAGATGCAAAAAGATCCCACCTTGTCTAGCCTATTTCGTTTTGTCGACATTTGGAAAGTTTACTGAAAAACTTTTTCCATCAGGCCTATCATGACTTATTTTTTTTATCCCCACATAAAAAGGTTGGATGGAAACCTGGTTAATGTCAACATGCCCGTCAATTCAAGTGATCAGTCTGCTGCACATTGGGTACTGTGTGTGGGCGGTAAATTCAATTAGTTTATTATAGTTACAACAATTAGGTGAAGTTTCTACACCAGACAAAGACATCCGATCATGTGTGGGTGAGTGAGAACAGGAGGAAAGGAAGAGGAGCAGAGGGCGCAACAGCTACATAAAAATACATCTGTAAAGTAGAAGGTTCGGTTGTTTACCTATTGGGAAATGGCAACTAGCCACTGTAAAAAAAAACTTTTCTGGGATAAATAAAATGGCTACACTTGTTTTAAACAATTCATCAAAAAATTGGTTTTTGGTCCTGTGAAATCTATTGGAATGTTGATACCAGGGGCCTCATTTTATAAACCGTGCGTACGTTAAAAAAAATATACCCCAAAATGTTCGTGCCCCTTTTTTCCCACAAGTTGGCATTTATAAAAACAGAACTTGATGTGAGAATGTCCTTTCTCCACGCACATTTTAGACCATGCGTACGCACATCTTCTAGTGGTTGACATGTTGTATTGCAAGCAGGCCTAAGTATTATTTGTAAATGGGGGATATTATGACAAGACGCAGCCATTGGCTGTTAGTGAGAAGAGCAAACCATTTTATTTTATTTCTTTATCTAAAATAATTAGACCGAGGAATCTATTTACTATAGATTTATTTTCATAACCATTGCAGAATAAATTCCTCACCTTTTCTGGCCATGATGGGTTCATATTCCTGAAGTAGCCATAAAACAAATTACTATGCACATCTCATTTAATTGGCCCATGTATTTCAAGTTTCTCTGTGATCACATAGGCAACGCCGTTTATTGCCTACAGACAGTTGATATTTTACTTTGTAGTAGGCCTATGTATGCTACTACTGTATTGTCATTGGCCATGTTTCGGGGTGGAGCTCATAAGAGTAATACTCCGCATGCTTTGCAATTGTTGATTTTTACATTTACATGTAGTTATTTAACAGATGCTCTTATCACACCTTAGTGCCATCAGACTTTTGAAACTAATGTAGGGTGAAAGGGGGCCACAAAATTGGGAACCGCTGTAAAGAAATGGTATAGAAAAGTATTTTGAAATTACAGCTTTGAAAGTATCTTGTTAAAAAATACATATAAAAATACAATACAGTGAAGTTCAGCCCAGCATAATACAAAATACTCAGAAGTAATTAAAATATGTATTTCAAATACATGTAACAGAAATACTGCCCATCTCTGTAGGCAGCATGCATGTTTAGTTTGAAAAAGTTACTGCAAAATATCAAAACATTCTGCCCACACCTCTACAGAAATGTGATCAAATATGCCATTGTTCTTTTACAAACTGCTGTGACCTAATTCTAATAGTGCTAAATTATACACCATAAAAGGTGGAGGGTGGAGTTTTGATGCTTATTCACGCACGCACAGTTTTACGACAGGTATACATGGGAAACATGCATGAATGGCTTGCGTCAAGTTTATACATCAATTTTTTTGACGTACGTATTCTTTTCAGAAATGGCACATTCAGATATTTAGTGTGAAATTTACACAACCGTTATAAATGACGCCTCATTTAGCAACCGTGCGTACATTTCTTACTAAATTATGGCGTACGTGGAGATTCTAGCAATATGCAGTACCAGTCATAGGTTTGGACAACTACTCATTCAAGGGTTTTTATTTTATTTTTACTATTTTCTACATTGTAGAATAATAGTGAAGACATCAAAACTATGAAATGACACATATGTAATCATGTAGTAACCAAAAAAGTGTTAAACAAATCTAAATATTTGAGATTCTTCAAATAGCCACACTTTGCCTTGATGACAGCTTTGCACACTCCTGGCATTCTCTCAACCAACTTCACCTGGAATGCTTTTCCAACAGTCTTGAAGGAGTTCCCACATATGCTGAGCACTTGTTGGCTGCTTTTCCTTCACTCTTCAGTCCAACTCATCCCAAACCATCTCAATTGGGTTGAGGCTGGGGGATTGTGGAGGCAAGGTCATCTGATGCAGTGCTCCATCACTCTCCTTCCCTTCTTTGTCAAATAGCCCTTAAACAGCCTGGAGGTGTGTTGGGTCATTGTCCTGTTGAAAAACACTAAGTGCAAACAAGATTGGATGGTGTATCGCTGCAGAATGCTGTGGTAGCCATGCTGGGTAAGTGTGCCTTGAATTCTAAATAAATCACACAGTGTCACCAGCAATGCACCATCACACCCCCTTCTCCATGCTTCACGGTGGGAACCACACATGCGGAGATCATCCGTTCACCTACTCTGCGTCTCACAAAGACACAGCAGTTGGAACCACAAATCTCAAATTTGGACTCCAGACCAAAGGACAGATTTCCACTGGTCTAATGTCCATTGCTCATGTTTCTTGGCCCAAGCAAGTCTCTTCTTCTTATTGGTGTCCTTTAGTAGTGGTTTCTTTGCAGCAATTCAATCTTGAAGGCCTGATTCACGCAGTCTGTTACTTAAACTCGGAAGTGTTTATTTGGGCTGCAATTTCTGAGGCTGGTAACTCAAATGAACTTATCCTCTGCAGCAGAGTTAACTCTGGGTCTTTCTTTCCTGTGGCGGTCCTTTTGACAGCCAGTTCCATCATAGCGCTTGATGGTTTTTGCGACTGCACTTGAAGAAACTTTAAAAGTTCTTAATGTTCCGGATTGACCTTCATGTCTTATAGTAATGATCTACTGTTGTTTCTCTTTGCTTATTTGAGCTGTTCTTTGCTATAATATGGACTTAGCCCTATTTGGTAAAAGACCATCTTCTGTATACCAATCCTACCTTGTCACAACACAACTGATTGGCTCCAACGCATTAAGAAGGAAAGAAATTCCACAAATTAACTTTTAACAAGGCACACCTGTTAATTGAAATGCATTCGAGGTGACTACCTCATGAAGCTGGTTGAGAGAATGCCAAGAGTGTGCAAAGCTGTCATCAAGGGTGACTACTTTGAAGAATCTCAAATATAAAATATATTTTGATTTGTTTAACATATTTTTGGTTACTACATGATTCCATATGTGTTATTTCATAGTTTTGATGTCTTCACTATTATTCTACAATGTAGAAAATAGTAAAAAAAAGAAACCCTTGAATGAGTAGGTGTGTCCAAACCTTTGACTGGTACTGTATGTGCATGTCTTCATTGATAAATCAGAGCCATATTATAGTTGTGCGCTCGTTAACGAGCGCTACAACCCCGCCTGGAAAACACCCCCCCATTCACCTTTTTTATGCAAACAAAAACGCCCTCATTTGCTGTATGCTTTGGAAATGTTGGAACTTCGCTATGTCTGTTTCTTAAAAAAAATCGGAAAATAGCAAATTGGATCACATTTCTGTAGAGGTGTGGGTAGAATGTTTTAATCTTTTGTAGTGACTTTTTCACCACAAAAAATGCATGCCACCTATAGCGAGTGCCAAATACTGGCTGCTTATTATGCAAGATTGATTTGTCTATCGAAGAATTTAAACGTAAATGCTGCCTACTGCCCACACTCCTTTACTTTCGAGCATGGTTGGCTATTGAATGAGCAATGGATAAATGGTAGCCTAATTATTGTATAGTGGGAATAAACCAGTCATGTCAGAAAAGGAGTGACATGATTTATGATTTAGGACTAATAAAAGTCAAATCAATATATTAGGCGACATGCTGCTATGCGATCTTATCAAAGGCAAATTCATCAATTTTATCATTAGGCTTACTTTAATGTTTTTAGCCTACCATTATTATAATTCCTGTGCAAATGCCTCCATCTCCCCAAAAATAAGTATTTTCTTGCAATACAGAGATTTGTGTGGAGATATGCATACTTTCCCGTCAAGTTCAACATTTATAAATACCAACCTTTGTGGGGACAACTTGCGCACGCAAGGTTGTCTTTTTGTGCGCAAGCACCTTTGATAAATGAGGCCGCAGGTACTTTAAGCATACGAGCAGTAATAAGAATCCTCCAGAATAAGGTCTTAGAGGGCAATTCCACTACTTTCCAACCTAATTTATATTATCTCCTGCACAATACCAGTGTCTACATATGTGAACTGTGCATTTCTATGTTTTTGTAGATATATATATATTTTTTTTCATGTTCTACCCAATGACATCGTTAAAACATTTTAAAAGCACTGATTTTTCAAACACAATAACCCTAACCCACTGACTTGGGGAGCAAGAAAATACCCTGTGGCTAGAAACTCGTTGCAGGTTTTGAAAATCCCTGTTAAAAAACGTTTAATCCTACCATGTGAAGTCATAAAGAAGCATTTTCTTAGGACCTTATCTTTTTAACCACAGATTATAGAAACTGCTTTTTTTATGTAGACACTGGTTTGGTGCTGGAGATAATTAGAGTGGTGGAAAAGTGGTGGAATTGCCCTTTTAAATCTAAATGAAAGGTTTCTAAAGTTTCATGTTTCAGATCACAAAAATCCAGCCATGAAAAAGGGTAGGCTATTCATTAGGTAGGCTATTCATCTCATTTTTCTTTTCCTGTTTTGTTTTGCAGGAGTTGTCATGGTGTTCTGTCCCTCTTTCCCTCCGGCATGTGTGTACTACCTGTTGTGGTCTGTCTCCTACATTTTGTTCCCAACATCTCTTTGGAGTTGCAAAGTGTAGGAGTTAAAGGCCTTGCTCCAAACTCACACATGGCTTGTCAACAGGCCGTCCGGCGGGGTTAACTAAAGCTCCCAGACTGCTGCTGCTAGCTATCCACAGCGGATCGAAAAAGGACGTAAGAGGACGTTTTAATGTTTTTGTAAGATTGAACTGCCTTTTCGTCGACCACTTGATGGATAATGTGAAGTACCTTAGCCATCTTGTTTTTGATTTAATACAGGCTTTGGGTATCTGTAGTTATGTTTTTACAATACAACGGCAGAATTGTACTGTACTGTCTTGTGTGTACTGTGTGCATAATTGTGCTTGAGATTATTCCAACTATTAATAAGTATTTTCAGTAAATAATAAAGTCATTTGAGAAACTTTTTACTGTAAACATGGTAGATTCAAACTTATGGCATGCTCTCAATTTGTAATGTATATTTTATTTTCATCATATTGCAAATACAAAAGAAGTCCATTGTATAATTAAGCAGTAAGGCCAGAGGAGAGGTGTGGTATATGGCCAATATACAATGGCTAAGGGCTGTTCTTACGCATGATGCAACACAGAGTGCCTGGATACAGCCATTAGCCGTGGTATATTGGCCAATATACCACAAACCCGCAAGGTGCCTTATTGCTATTATAAACTGGTTACCAATGTAATTAGATGAGTAAAAAGTAATTTTTCCATACCCGTGGTATACTTAAGTGATAATGCCCGAGAAGCCAGTGTTAGGAGGATATTGGCATGGTTTGCCGGCCCCCGACTTAGTCTCGGGCCTAACAACACCCGTACCAATATATCCTCCAAACACCGGCTTTGACGGCATTATCACTTTTATACAATGGGTTACCAACATTCAAATAATGATTTACATATTTTCCTTAATGATATTTTGATGAATTTATTCATACCATTTCATCCTTCCACAATATATAGTCCCGACACAAATCTAGTGTTGCTACCCAAGCCGGCTGGTCGTTCGGTTGCCAGAGATGCGACCCAGTCGTCCAGTCATTTTGTTCTCTATCTATGGACGTGACCCAGTCGTTCATTCTAAATGTTCTATTGCCATACTGGCTGGAAACGTTCTTATCCAATGCTTGCTTGCCAACTACGGCTAACTTACAGTCACGTCAAACAGTGCAGCCAGAATAACAACAAAGTAGCTTAATTTGCATAAGCTGTTTTCTAGTGACATTTGTTTGGATACATCCCGATTTCACCTGGCATAGAAAATGTGCTCTCTCGTCAGGACACTGTTGTTCAGAGGAGTTAGCTAACAATACGGCTAACTAAATCACTTCAAACTGAAGCTGGAAAGACTGCAAACTAGCTGCACTTTTTACCTGTTTTCTATTGATATTTCTTCATATATCCATAAAAATTACACTGATTCATGATTTTGACTGGCTGAAAAAAGCTGCCTGCCTATGTGACAGATGGAGATCGAATTTGAATATTGAAACAATGTTGCAAATGTTGGAAAAACAGACGGCAATGTTTATACAAATCTCCACTGTTGAAAACTAAATGTTAGTCTAAAAGAAATGTGAGAATGTCTAGATGCATTTTATAGTGGATCAAGTTTATAAATTGCCTGGCAGGGCTGATGAGACAGTGGATTGCGCAGTGAGATGGAACAGAGTAGTGGTGGCAAAAGTACCCAATTTTAATACTTTATTAAAAGTAAATATACATTTTCTTAGTAGAAAATGACTCAAGTGAAAGTCACCCAGTAACATACTACTTAAGTATATTTAAAACCAAATACTTTTACTTAAGTATCAAAAGTAAATGTAATGGCAAAAATATACTTAAGGAGTAAAAGTAGAGATCATTTCAAAGTTCTTAACGTATTTTTACTTAAGTACTTTACACCACTGGAACAGAGTAAATAGGCATTTTAACGTCAGATTTAGCCGGTGGTAACTTGTGGAATAGACACTGGCTGGTTAAAACTGCATTCCAATCAGCGTCCAGGATTAGACATTCCCATTGTATAAGGTCTGATTTATACCATGGCTTTCAGCATTCAGGGCTCAAACCACCCAGTTAGTTTTTTAAATTATGGTAGACTGACTGGTTCACATATCTTATGTTCTACTTAACTACCACAGTGATTGTACATAATACATTGTGTGTGGATATGGGATTGAGAAATATTTCTTTTTTATTTTATCTTCAAACACGGTTTGTTTTTGAGCATCAAACTGCATTCTTTAATCTGAATTTGTATTAATTTTTTTATCCTCAAACCATTGTGACGATAGATTAGTTTCATTTTATTGGAGGCAAAATGTATTCGTGCTTACGTTCCCACCAGATATTTTAATCACTAGAATTACAGTACTATATTAAAAAGATGTCATGTGCTAGCTATGGTGAATACAATAATGAGCATTCATAAGATAACTGGGTCTCTCAGCACTTGCGTTTGTGTTCTTATTAACAAAACACATGAGCAGATTTTATTCTAACTAAGGGTTTGACATATTCACATTTTACTTACACATGACATTGTGGTTAGATTTTATCTACTGTGAACGTAGCTTTATAGTTGGTATTTGTGCACCTCTGTTTTAGGAGGCTTTGCGCTTTAAGTAGTACCAAAATTTTTTTGCTTTTTACCTAAGGTACATTGAATGTTTTATTTTTATTTTTTAGTTCATAACATTAGTGCCGGCCCGAACTGTGCTGGCTTGGATATTTTCCTTTCCTGCTGTCCTTTCCAGCGCGGTTCGAGTAACTATGGTTTATGTGTAACCAGTCCTGCACAGCTCATCTTGGCTTGGTTCAGCTCAGTAGTGTGACAACGTTTTGCTGTTACTTTTAAGCATGAGTCATGAGGACAAATGATGTCCAGATATTCCTGTTCTTGATCCATTCGGTCGAGCAAGGACTTACTCCATTTCCACGACTGGGTGTATTATTCTGAAAATGGCGGTTTGTGCCTCTCTTTAGGATTTCAAATATGTGTGAGTGATGGAGACAATGTGATGAGTTTGTTTTGAAATGTCTTTAGAAACTGACTGACAACAGCAACTCTACAGTACAACTATAAATGTCACCTCCATGTGGTCGACACGGCTGGTTTGTTAACATCATGGTCAATGATAAGTAATGGTATGAACAAAATCAACAGCGTTGAGTGAGTGAAGAACACTTAAAGGACAATTTTACGTAGAATGATCAGTGACTTGACAGTCTCATGGTGGGCGCTCTAACTGTATGGCCACAATACATGTCTCATTACTACAGTTAAATGCACAAGAGTGATACTCACCCAATTATAAACCAGTAAATGTCATGAAGATTTTTTTATTCTGTACCTTTGACAATAAAATGTGATTATAATGACTTGCCTGGTTTCATGAAAAGAACCCTTTTTACATTTGTACAATTTCAAAGGAAAAGCACTACTGATGGACCAAACATGTGAGGTGAGGAATTGTGATGTGAAAATAACATTAATAGCAGATTTTTTTTCCCGACATCCATTTGTGCTAAAAGGGACAGTGTCACTCATCCGAAAATCCCCGGTGTGGTTGTACAACATTTGTGCAATCTTACAATAAGGCTATAGGTTGCATTTACCATACAATACAGTTGAAGTCGGAAGTTTACATACACTTAGGTTGGAGTCATTAAAAGTTGTTTTTCAACCACTCCACACATTTATTGTTAACAATAGTTTTGGCAAGTTGTTTAGGACATCTACTTTGCATGACACGTAATTTTTACAACAATTGATTAGACAGATTATTTCACTTATAATTCACTGTATCACAATTCCAGTGGGTCAGAAGTTTACATACACTAAGTTGACTGCTTTTAAACAGCTTGGAAAATTCCAGAAAATGATGTCATGGCTTTAGAAGCTTCTGATAGGCTAATTGACATCATTTGAGTCAATTGGAGGTGTACCTGTGGATGTACTCCAAGGCCTACCATCAAACTCAGTGCCTCTTTGCTTGACATCATGGGAAAATCTAAAGAAATCAGACAAGACCTCAGAAAAAAAAAATTGTAGACCTCCACAAGTCTGGTTCATCCTTGGGAGCAATTTCCAAACGCTTGAAGGTACCACGTTCATCTAAACACCATGGGACCACGCAGCCCGTCATACCGCTCAGGAAGGAGACGCGTTCTGTCTCCTAGAGATGAAAGTACTTGGGTGCAAAAAGTTCAAATCAATCCCAGAACAACAGCAAAGTACCCTGTGAAGATGCAGGAGGAAACGGGTACAAAAGTATCTATATCCACAGTAAAACGAGTCCTATATCGACATAACCTGAAAGGCCGCTCAGCAAGGAAGAAGCCACTGCTCCAAAAACGCCATAAAAAAGCCAGACTATGGTTTGCAACTGCACATGGGGACAAAGACTGTACTTTTTGGAGAAATGTCCTCTGGTCTGATGAAACAAAAATAGAACTGTTTGGACACAATGACCATCGTTATGTTTGGAGGAAAAAGGGGGCGGCTTGCAAGCCGAAGAACACCATCCCAACTGTGAAGCACGGGAGTGGAAGCATCATGCTGTGGGGGTGCTTTGCTGCAGGAGGGACTGGACCACTTCAGAAAATAGATAGCATCATGAGGAAGGAAAATTATGTGGATATATTGAAGCAACATCTCAAGACATCAGTCAGGAAGTTAAAGCTTGGTCACAAATGTTCTTCCAAATGGACAATGACCCCAAGCATACTTCCAAAGTTGTGGCAAAATGGCTTAAGGACAACAAAGTCAAGGTATTGGAGTGGCCATCACTAAGCCCTGACCTCAATCCTATAGAAAATGTGTGGGCAGAACTGAAAAAGCGTGTGCGAGCAAGGATGCCTACAAACCTGACTCAGTTACACCAGCTCTGTCAGGAGGAATGGTCCAAAATTCACCCAACTTATTGTGGGAAGCTTGTGGAAGGCTACCCAAAACGTTTGACCCAAGTTAAACAATTGAAAGGCAATGCTACCAAATACTAATTGAGTGTATGTAAACTTCTGACCCACTGGGAATGTGATGAAATAAATAAAAGCTGAAAGAAATAATTCTCTACTATTATTCTGACATTTCACATTCTTAAAATAAAGTGGTAATCCTAACTGACGTAAAACAGGGAATTGTTACTAGGATTAAATGTCAGGAATTGTGAAAAACGGTTTAAATGTATTTGGCTAAGGTATGTCAATTTCCGACTTCAACTGTACTTTCACACATTTACGTTAACGCATTTACAACATTTAATCCCGGTTTAATAAAATAATCTCTCTGAATGTTGATACCACAGTATGATACCACAGTGACACATCAACCTAGAATCAATTACAGCCATGCTTTGTATGGGACTAAATCCTTGCTTTCAGGGGACCAGAAATCTGGGACCAGAAGTCGGCCCTGGCATTTAACACACCAGGCCATTGTTTTTCTCGAGGCCCCCCTCACTGGCAAATTTGTAGTTTAAGGCCCCCATTATTAGCCAGATAATGATCATTTTGCACACAAAATAAGTTAGACAGGCCCATCTGGCATTTGCCAGAAATGCCAGATGGCCAGTCCACCCCTGCTTGCTTTTAGCATCTTCATTCATCAATGTGATGCTTCAGGCTAGACATTTAGAGGAGCACACCCGCCCTCTTGCTGTAGTTCAAGTTGTCTGCCCTCTGGGATGTAGATGTCTGTAGTGTCATCCAGGTATGTGTAGGACTCCAGAAGCTTGATGATGGCGGAGGACACAGGGCGGTCCTTGAAGCTCCACATCCAGCAGTACTTCATCAGGTCATACCTGAGAGATCTGAATAGCACAGAATGAGAGAGCCCAATTACATTAAATAGGTGGTTACAACATGGAGGCATTACACAGCTAATAATGGGTTTTACATTGGCTGTGGAGTGATTAAATATACATAATGAGATATACAGACTGTTTTTGGCCAGGGATGGACAGATTTAAAAGGGTTCTCCACTAAAACAAGTTATTGTTGAGGTACATTTGCAAAATTACTTTAAATCAGATATGTGCAAAGTAACAGTTACCCAATGTGATCAATTCATACAGATTCCAAAAGACCATCTGAGGGGGAGACAAAACAAGCTATCAAGCATGTTGGGATGTTACAAAAAGCAACTGAAAGTAATGTAGAAATATTTTGTCTGAACGTTAATAAAACAAACAAATGTCTATGTATACTCTAGGCTACGGGGCAGATTCCCAAACACAGATTAAATCCCAACGCTCACACATCACTCCTGTCTGTGGTTGGATGCTTCATCATCCTCTCTGGAGCCTGCCATTTGAGAGGGACCTCAGCTGTCCTCTGATTGGCCAGCTTGTCATTTTGGCACCTCCAACTTATCAGGCCTGCTGCCATCTGCTTTGCCACCGGAAAGTGCTGGAGTGGATCCAAGGACTCCGAATCCCTCTGGAGAGAAGGGAAATGTATTTAATCTTATTCAGTTAAGTCAGTGGATGATTGAAATTTTAATTGACCAATTATTTATCTGTGGACCTTTCAATTAAATGTATCTGAAAAATTGATTAATGAATTTACATAATATTGGGAATAGAAATACAATATTATTCATATTCAACATGGTTTATTAGTAAGAGCACTGGTGTGTACGATTTCCAATGTATTTGTTACAGCTAATAAAGTTGAACTTGAGGTCCCGGCCATTGTTTTACATTCCTCAGGGTCCATAGTAGTGCAGGGGGTTGCAAGGACTACATAACCAGGTAGATGGGTAGTCGCTGGGTCTGGCAGTACAGCATCCGGACCAGGTGGTGGTGTTTACACACTGTCCCATGTAAAAGGATCCCGTCCACAAACTATTTTGCCTCAGGCTGATTTAAGACATCTGAAAGGAGATACAGTATATTGCACAAAAGTTTTCATCTTCTCAAAGAAGGAACAACATCCATTTTACTTGTTGTTTTTTATGCAGTGGGATGGGAAATTCCCTCTAAGAGGGCAAGTCCTAAATTATGTTTGTTTTTACCTGCGAGGTACTCACAAAGCTATCCCATACCTCAAACTTTATTGGGGAAAACTCTCCAAATAGATGCAACTATGTTCCACACACACACAGCCTCTGTTTGCGCTGGACAGTACAACACATACCCCGGAGTGTCTTGACCACCACAGCAGTAGATATGTCCGCTTTTCTGAGTGTGCCTCTGCAAATGGGTCCATAGTGGCCCGTCTGCCAGATCTCCTGGGAGCTCCCATGGACCAACTGTGCTAATGGGGACACACTCCTGACCTGCTGGATGCAATGCAGTAAAGTTCTAAGCATTTGTGACAGCATGCATTTTAATTTCACCTTAAAGTTGTTTCTTGAGGTTGATCTTATAATGTTCTGTACTATGCCCTTCTACACTATACAGTTGAAGTCGGAAGTTTACATACACCTTAGCCAAATACATTAAAATGTAATCCTAGTAAAAATTCCCTGTCTTAGGTCAGTTAGGATCACCACTTTATTTTAAGCATGTGAAATGTCAGAATAATAGTAGAGAGAATGATTTATTTCAGCTTTTATTTATTTCATCAAATACCCAGTGGGTCAGATGTTTACATACACTCAATTAGTATTTGGTTGCATTGCCTTTAAGTTGTTTAACTTGGGTCAAACGTTTCAGGTAGCCTTCCACAAGTTTCCCACAATAAGTTGGGTGAATTTTGGCCCATTCCTCCTGACAGAGCTGGTGTAACTGAGTCAGGTTTGTAGGCCTCCTTGCTCGCACACACTTTTTCAGTTCTGCCCACACATTTTCTATAGGATTGAGGTCAGGGCTTTGTGATGGCCACTCCAATACCTTGACTTTGTTGTCCTTAAGCCATTTTGCCACAACTTTGGAAGTATGCTTGGGGTAATTGTCCATTTGGAAGACCCATTTGCAACCAAGCTTTAACTTCCTGACTGATGTCTTGAGATGTTGCTTCAATATATCCACATAATTTTCCTTCCTCATGATGCCATCTATTTTGTGAAGTGCACCAGTCCCTCTTGCAGCAAAGCACCCCCACAGCATGATGCTGCCACCCCTGTGCTTCACGGTTGGGATGTTGTTCTTCGGCTTGCAAGCCGCCCCCTTTTTCCTCCAAACATAACGATGGTCATTATGTCCAAACAGTTCTATTTTTGTTTCATCAGACCAGAGGACATTTCTCCAAAAAGTACGATCTTTGTCCCCATGTGCAGTTGCAAACTGTAGTCTGGCTTTTTTATGCCGGTTTTGGGGAAGTGGCTTCTTCAGATGAACGTGGTACCTTCAGGCGTTTGGAAATTGCTCCCAAGGATGAACCAGACTTGTGGAGGTCTACAAAAAAAATTCTGAGGTCTTGGCTGATTTCTTTTGATTTTCCCATGATGTCAAGCAAAGAGGCACTGAGTTTGAAGGTAGGCCTTGAAATACATCCACAGGTACACCTCCAATTGACTCAAATTATGTCAATTAGCCTATCAGAAGCTTCTAAAGCCATGACATCATTTTCTGGAATTTTCCAAGCTTGTTTAAAGTCACAGTCAACTTAGTGTATGTCAACTTCTGACCCACTGGAATTGTGATACAGTGAATTATAAGTGAAATAATCTGTCTGTAAACAATTGTTGGAAACATTACTTGTGTCATGCACAAAGTAGATGTCCTAACTGACTTGCCAAAACTATAGTTTGTTAACAAGAAATTTGTGGTGTGGTTGAAAAACGAGTTTTAATAACTCCAACCTCAGTGTATGTAAACTTCCGACTTCAACTGTATATACAAATGTATGTGGACACCCCTTCAAATTAGTGTATTCGGCTATTTCAGCCACACCCTTTGCTGACAGGTATATAAAATCGAGCACACAGCCATGCAATCTCCATAGACAAACCTTGGCAGTAGAATGGCCTTATTGAAGAGCTCAGTGACTTTCAACTTGTCACCGTCATAGTATGCCACCTTTCCAACAAGTCAGATTGACAAACTTCTGCCCTGCTAGAGCTGCCCCAGTCAACGTTGAGTGCTGTTATTGTGAAGTGGAAAGGTCTAGGAGCAACAATGGCTCAGCCACGAAGTGGTAGGCCACACAAGCTCACAGAACGGGACCGCCGAGTGCTGAAGCACGTAAAAATAGTCTGTCCTCGTTTGCAACACTCACTACCTAGTTCTAAACTGCCTCTGGAAGCAACGTCAGCACAATAACTGTTCGTCGAGAGCTTCATGAAATGGGTTTCCATGGCTGAGCAGCCGCACACAAGCCTAAGATCACCATGCGCAATGCCAAACGTTGGCTGGAGTGGTGTAAAGCTTGCCGCCATTGGACTCTGGAGCAGTGGAAACGCGTTATATGGATTGATGAATCACGCTTCACAATCTGGCAGTCCGACGGACAAATCTGGGTTTGGCGGATGCCAGGAGAACACTACCTGCCCCAATGCATAGTGCCAACTGTAAAGTTAGGTGGAGGAGGAATAAAGGTCTGGGGCTATTTTTCACGGTTTGGGCTAGGCCCCTTAGTGCTAGTGAAGGGAAATCTTAACCCTACAGCATACAATGACATTTTAGACGATTCTGTGCTTCCAACTTTGTGGCAACACTTTGGGGAAGGCCCTTTCCTGTTTCAGCATGACAATGCCACCGTGCACAAAGCAAGGTCCATACAGAAATGATTTGTCAAGATCGGTGCGGAAGGACTTTAATGGCCTGCACAGAGCCCTGACCTCAACCCCATCAAACACCTTTGGGATGAATTGGAACACCGACTGTGAGCCAGGCCTAATCAGCCAACATCAGTGCCAGACCTCACTAATGCTCTTATGGCTGAATGGAAGCAAGTCCCCGCAGCAATGTTCCAACATCTAGTAGAAAGCCTTCCCAGAAGAGTGGAGGCTGTAATAGCAGCAAAGGGGGGACCAACTCCATATTAATGCCCATGATTTTGGAATGAGATGTTCGACGAGCTGGTGCCCACATACACTATATGACCAAACGTATGTGCCTTCCTAGGCAGTAGAGGTTAGTCATGGTTAACAAGAGTGTATACTAATGCATAGTGATGGTAAGAGCAGATTGCATTAAAAAACATTCTGAAGCATGGTGGGGACTTCACCTAAATTTGCACTATGTAACTTTTTGGGCGACCCAACTATGCTACCCGTTCTTATGTTTTGTCTTACTTTCGGTTTTGTACACTAGCTTTAAACAGCTGAAAATACAATATTTTTGGTTATGTAAAATATATTTCACAGCGGTTTAGATGGTACAATGATTCTCTACACTATACTTTTGTTTTGCCACATATACTGAAATTAAGTGAACTATTAGAATTTTAGCAACCAGGAAATGGTGGAGTGATTTCTGCATAGTGCATCTTTAAACAATATTACAGATCTAATATTACATGAGGTATTTACACTGAACAAAAATAAACGCAACATGCAAAGTGTTAGTCCCATGTTTCATGAGCTGAAATAAAATATCCCAGAAATGTTCCATACGCACAAAAAGCTTATTTCTCTCAAATTTGATTCACTAATTTGTTTACATCCCTGTTAGTGAGCATTTCTGGTTTGCCAAGATAATCCATCCACCTGATAGGTGTGGCATATCAAGAAGCTGATTAAACAGCATGATCATTACACAGGTGCACCTTCTGCTGGGGACAATAAAAGTCCACTCTAAAATGTGCAGTTTTGTCACACAACACAATGCCACAGATGTCTCAAGTTGAGGGAGCGTGCAATTGGCATGCTGACTGCAGGAATGTCCGCCAGAGCTGTTGCCAGAGAATTTAATGTTCATTTCTCTACCGTAACCCGCCTCCAATTCATTTGAGAGAATTTGGCAGTACGACCAACCAGCCTCACAACCGCAGACCACGTATATGTCGTTGTGTGGGTGAGCGGTTTGCTGATTTCAACATTGTGAATTGATTGCCCCATGGTGGAGGTGGGGTTTTGGTATGGGCAGGCACAAGCTACGGACAATGAACACAATTGCATTTTATCGATGGCAATTTGAATGCACAGAGATAACGTGACGAGCTCTTGAGGCCATTCATCCACTGCCATCACCTCATGTTTCAGCATGATAATTCACAGACCCATTTCGCAAGGATCTGTAAACAATTCCTGGAAGCTGAAAATGTCCCAGTTCTTCCATGGCCTGCATATTCACCAGACATGTCACCCATTGAGCACGTTTGGGATGCTCTGGATCGACGTGTACGACAGCGTGTTCCAGTTCCTGCCAATATCAGCAACTTCACACAGCCATTGAAGAGGATTGACAACATTCCACAGGCCACAATCAACAGCCTGATCAACTCTATGCAAAGGAGATATGTTGCGCTGCATGAGGAAAATGGTGGTCACACCAGATACTGACTGGTTTTCTGATCCATTCCCCTACCTTTTTTTAAGGTACCTGTGACCAACAGTTGCATGTTTGTATTCCCAGTCATGTGAAATCCATAGATTAGGGTAGTGGTGGAAAAAGTACTCAATTGTCATACTTGAGTAAAAGTAAAGATACCTTAATAGAAAACGACTCAAGTAAAAGTCTCCCAGTAAAATACTACCAGAGTATAAGTCTAAGTATTTGGTTTTAAATATACTTAAGTATCAAAAGTAAATGGAATTGCTCAAATATACTTAAGTATCAAAAGTAAAAGTTTTAATAATATCTAATTCCTTATATTATGTAAACCAGACGGCACAATTTTCTTGTTTTCTTATTTATTTACGGATAGCCAGGGGCAAACTCCAACACTCAAGACATAATTTACAAACGAAGCATTTGTGTTTAATGAGTCTGCCCGATCAGATGCAGTAAGGATGACCAGGGATGTTCTCTTGATAAATGTGTGAAAAGTAATTGAGTGTCAGGGAAAATATATGGAGTAAAAAGTACATTATTTTCTTTAGGAATGTAGTGAAGTAAAAGTAGGCAAAAGTATAAATAGTAAAGTACAGATACCCCAAAAAACTACTTAAGTAGTACTTTTTCCTTATATGAACTGTAACTCTGTAAAATCGTAGAAATTGTTGCATGTTGCGTTTATATTTTTGTTCAGTGTAGGGGGAGCTCGGGGGAACTGTGGGGGGATCTTGGATGGTTGTTGGCCTGGTGGTTGGGAGCTTGTTCGGTGGTTTGGGTCCCCGATTTGACTTAGTGGGAGATCTGTCGATGTGCCCTTGGGCAGGGCAGTTGACCCTGATTGCTCTGGATGGGAGTGTCTGCTAGATTACTGAATGTAATGTCAATTATGAGCGGC